AGGTGATGGTTGTTAATAAAGGTTAATGATGATCGAGATAAAAGGTTGAATAGTAGAAAATGAAATGTTTTATTCTAAAAATGTGAGATGGAAATGAGAGTGACTATAAGAAAATACATTATCGTGGAAGGGTTTGAGCGATGAATGAAAAACTATGAAATATTATATATATATTAATAATATAGCTGTCTTATTAACTATTACATTAGAGTGGTTAATTAATATCTCATTTTGTGTAAATTGTTTAAATTTAGTGTCAAATATATTATGACTAAAAAATTAAAACAATATAAAAAGTAATGTTAAATATTTGCAATAATACACATTGGAAGGCACAAGGAGTATTAGTTCGTTATGGAGCAAGTGTGAAAACCTAAAAAATAAAATTAAAAGAAGAAAGTGTATTTTCTGTAGTGTAGTATTTCTTAGTTTTAAATTTTAATCAAACCATGTTAGAGTGATCTTTGTTTTCTGATAAGGTGGTAGCCAAATAAACGTAGCTTAAAGAAGAAATTGTTAATTGACTTCACGATTTGTATCAAAGTTTGAAAGTTCTAAACCCGGGAAGAAAGATTAGTTTCTTCTTCTTCGGTGCGGTAAACGTGAAACCCTAATCTACAAAATTGAGTTACAATGGCTTCTTCCCCTTCATCGAATTCGAAGCCCTCAAAATTCTGTGTATATCAAAACCCCGCTTTCTCTTCTGCTCTCACCTCTAACAGCCTCCAACCTTCTAATCACACTCTCTTCTCTCTTTTCTCTTTCTTCTCTGCCTCCTCACTCGCTTTTCTCGCTATCATCTTCAGGTACATTACGTTTCATATTACTCCTTTTATTTTCATTCTATCACCAAAAAATCACTTTTTTTTTAATTTTATGTTCTTTATATATATAATCTGTTTTCAATGCAGAATAACTCACTCTTAATCTGACCCCTTTTCACATATTGTAGGGAAAATGTATTCATTGACATCTTGAAGCTCAAAAATCTCTCCCCTCTCACTGCTTGTAGGTTCTCAAGTTCTTTCAGCTATTATTATTATTATTATTTTGTTTTTTTGGTATTTGTTTGAAGTGATTTGTTTTAATAACACAGCTATGGTTATTATTGTAATCGATTTCTTGAACTCTTAGATTGGTTTGCAAAGATGCTACAATCTATTGTGGGTCTCATTTTCATGGCAAATATGTTGGCCCTTCTCAAAGTTATATTTCTCCGGAGACCTACATACAATGCTGGTGTTGTAACGAATTCCAATGTTAATAAATTTGAGGTGTCTCTCACTAAACATCAACTAGAGCTTCTAGGAGTGAAGCCAAAGGTTGAATCGGTTCAACCTGATTCGTCAAAGAAGCCTCCCAGGTCTAAACCACACTCGGCATCTTCTGAATTGCTTGTTCCACTTCATCAGTCAGTTCAAAGTCCCAATCGTTCTTCTCGAATTGACGCAGATAGTTCAAATTCTAATAGGGGAGCTATGGCGCGTTCTATTAGCACCACCCCCTCAAGGTCGCCCGGTTCTTCATCTATGTATCTTGCCCCTGGAGTGATTTCGTCGCCAAGTTCTGTTCAGAATTCAGCAGGAATGGACTCCGTTGTATCGAGCCCTTGGTCTAGTAGGCGGGCCTCCTTTGCGAATAAGATAACATCAGAGGAAAAGCTGGAACGATTCTTAGCAGAAGCTGATGAAAGAATCACTGGATCAGCTGGGAAGCTGTCTACTCCACCACCTACTATTCCTGGATTTGGCATAGCGAGCCCTGTTGCAGTTACTGGCTCAGCTAGTACCTCTGGAGCTACAAGGTTGACACCATTGAGGCCTGTGAGGATGTCTCCAGGTTCTCAAAAGTTTAAAACGCCCCCTAAGAAGGGTGAGGGGGAACTTCCTCCACCGATGTCTATGGAAGAATCTGTTGCAGCTTTTGAAGATCTTGGCATCTATCCTCAAATTGAGCAATGGCGCGACCACCTCAGACAATGGTTTTCTTCAGTTTTACTTAATCCTTTTCTTAACAAGATCGAGACGAGTCACATGCAGGTTCGTTTATATCTTCATTTTTTAGTGTTTGAAGCAATGTTGTTGTCATAGTATTTGCTCAGATTGTTGTACTCCCTTTCCCATCAAAAGAAGGGGAAAGTTAAATAAGTCACAAAAAATATTTACTGTGGAAGACATTATATGTGTTGGTAACAATAATATTCAATTGTCATATTGTAATGTTTGATGTAAAATTTTCATGCGAGGTTTCAAGACCACTAATTTTTGTGTTTATTCTTTAAATAGTTGGCAGAGAATGAGATTCGTTGCAATAATAACGTATGTTTGCCTTGTGACCTTGAGGTCATGTATTCAAATCCTAGAAACAGCCCTTTCACTAATTATTTAACTAATATGACTGGTAATACTACCTCCAATAGCTGAATATTCAAATCAGTTTTGCTGAAACATCATTCATGAAGTCTAAGGAGCTCAAAAAGAATTTTTGGATGAACCATCAAACCAATGCAAAATCCAGTCAAAATCTCAATATGGCATTCTGTCCAAACAAGCTTTTCCTCACTTTAACTGTTGAAATTTATTTTCCAAGCCCAATGTTGTGGTTCAAGTTCTATAATATATTAGTATTGATGAAGGTTTATAGATGATTTTCATTAGTGGTAAACATCACTAAAAAGTTAGAGGCACAAACATCTAACAAGATTGGATCATCAATTTATTTAATGCTCTTTCTCCCAACCCTAATATTTTCGTGTGTATAGGTTATGCAAGCAGCTGCTAAACTTGGTGTTTCAATAACAATAAGTCAAGTGGGCAATGATACACCGCCTACTGGAACTCCTGACACCTTACCAGCAATTGGTAAGACTCAAGAGTGGCAACCGACATTGAATCTCAATGAAGATGGATTGCTTCGTCAGTTACATTCAACGCTTGTGCAAGCCATTGAGGCTTCCAAATGTATGTTGCTCCACATTGTTCAATTAAATGTGAATTTTCCAAGTTTTTGTTATATTTGCATATAGCTTCTGAGTTCTGACAAATTCCAGTCGGTTTATATTAACACACAGCTAGGTTGCTTGTACCTAATATGCAACAGTCCCCACAGCAGACTCCTTCGATTCCTATCATGCAAGATTGTTTAGATGCTATCACTGAACACCAAAGACTTCAAGCATTGGTTAAAGGAGAGTGGGTTAAAGGTTTGCTACCTCAAAGTAGTGTTCGCGCCGATTACATTGTGCAAAGGATCCGAGGTAGATAGGGTTATCAATATATTGCCTATCAATCATCATCTTCACCTCATAGATTTCTTGTAACAAATTGAAATGGACTACATTAATATTGAGATTGATTTCATGGTCAGCATACATCTAACTTTTATTTACATTGAATTTTCAGAGCTTGCAGAAGGAACCTGCTTGAAGAATTATGAGTATCTTGGAAGTGGGGAAGTTTATGATAAAAAGAATAAAAAGTGGACACTTGAATTACCTTCTGATTCTCATTTGCTCTTGTATCTGTTCTGTGCTTTCCTGGAACATCCTAAGTGGATGCTACATGCAGATGCTACATCCTACGCAGGAGCTCAGTCTAGCAAAAACCCCTTATTCTTAGGAGTCCTTCCACCAAAGGAAAGGTTTCCAGAGAAATACATTGCTGTAGTGTCTTCTGTCCCGTCTGTGCTGCACCCAGGAGCATGTGTACTGGTAGTTGGAAAGCAGGCCCCCCCAATTTTCGCCTTGTACTGGGATAAGAAGCTGCAGATTTCTCTTCAGGTTGGTAATACTTGTGTATTCTCAGATTATGAACACATACCAAATTCTTTGATACTACTACTATGACTACTAGTATTAAAACCTTGATACTGTCCTTTTCCAATACATGTTTTATGTGCTTTGTGAGTGAGCATGCTATGCATACCTGTTATCAATGATGCTCTTATCATCCAGTACAATTACTTGTTATATTGGTTTGCTGACTGTTATGATATATATTATGTCAGGGAAGAACAGCACTCTGGGATTCCATCTTGCTTTTGTGCTATAAGATTAAGGTTGGATATGGAAGTATCATTAGGGGCATGCATCTTGGTGCTTCAGCTTTAAGCATTCTTCCAGTTATGGAGACAGAAGCTGAAGATTGAGTTGTGGTACTGACCAACCATTCTGCTTCTACTAACATTTTGTATGCTGACTTCAACTTTGGTGGTAAATCACATTCCTCCCTACATTTCAGAGAAGAACTTGTTGGAGATGAATTCTACCTGATTAAGGGTTGATTAGAATTATGCTAGAGCCAGCTAATTTGTCTTGTATCATTACTAGAGGTCTTTAGAATGCCCATATTGATTTCATTGTATCTGGGGTCTTGCACTTTGTTAAAAGTTATATTTGGAGAACTCAAGACCAAAAGATTAAAGTGGAGCATATTGTTGTTAGTAATATATTTTGTTATCAATCTATGGTTTTCCTGTTAATAAACTTGATACTGAAATCTTCTTTACATGTTAGGATATTATCCATGTATATGGTCATTTTGAGTGGTGGTGTTATAAGAGAAAACTCTTACGCATTAAGATGTGGTGCTGACTTTTTATCTCCCTTAAAACTGTCTTAATCAAGCTACCAACAAAACTTAACACCATATTTCATAGATAGGTAAGTTCTTTAAACATGAAATCTAATGTATGATTTTATCATAATGTTATGAGAGTACCAACTTCAATTATTAGACTTTTGATTATTGAATAAGGGACATCTTTGATACACATTAAAAAAATCTTAATAAAGCTAATAAAAATGTATTAAAAGTTGTTTTTTAGTTATTTGTGAGGCACTAATGAAAGCCTAAGCTAGGTGATTCATGTGCTTAATACCTTAAAGTGTATTCATCATTGAGTTTCACTGAATTCAGATCCAAAAATCATAGTACCTGTTGGACTAGATTGAATGGTAATGAACAAATATATTGATTGTATATGTTATATTAGATAGCATGATCGAAAAGCCCGTCTAGCTCAGTTGGTAGAGCGCAAGGCTCTTAACCTTGTGGTCGTGGGTTCGAGCCCCACGGTGGGCGCTCTTCTTTTCCCAAAAAAGAAAGTTACAATTACATTCTTCTTTTATTATTTCTTGAACAAAAGGCAGAAGAAAAGCATAAAAGAAAAGCATATACTTCAATCACTCCACTCTTGTGTATCTGAAACACAAACTTTGTATGTATTTTTTTGTGTGTTCAATTCAAACTAACAAAGGTTTATAAACATGAATGGATGATGAGAGAGTAGATTTTATTAACAACTTAGAGAAGTTGAGAACAATTACACATCCAAACAAAAAGGTAAAAACAAAGACTAATGCATAATATTATTCCACCAACTAAACATTCATACTCATTTGCTTATTATCTACATTTCCCGGTGCAGCAGATGGTGAGGCTAATATCACAGCATCATGCTGACCATCAACCACGCGCCGCATCGTGTCCTCCGTGACCCCAAACGCCGCTGCAAGCTCAGGACCCATCATGGTCCTTAAGATGGAGGCTGCACCCGCCAGGAACTGTGGCCTGTTCCTTCTGGCTGAGGTGGTGAACCCAAAGAACTCTAAGGGTCCATTTCTTGATGCTATTTGACAAAAAGGGAAGTAACGAGGTACAACAAACACGTCCCCTTGTTTAATCTTAGTGTTCATTGCACTTGTTCCGTTTGGAAACACTATCTCAATTCTACCAGAACCACTTAGTACTATGCCATATTCTGTTGCTATTGGATTCACATGGGGTGCCATCATAGATCCCTATCATACCAAAATTCCATGCAAATTAAAACAATCAATATTCTCTGCCTGCAAATAGTAATTATGAACTATTTTTTCTTACTAATTACTCTTTAGGCTTTAACTATTGGTGAGATTGGTTCGTGTATAAATATATTGTTAAATTAATAATAGGACAAGAACGGGTATATGGATTGTTGAAATTGAATAGAATAAGGAATAATTTGCATGAACATACCGCAGTAAGATTGACATGATAAATGCCAATGCGAGCTGTTTTGAGAGGAGCATAATCTCTTCCATCAAGAGCAATGCTCCAACCATGATTGTTTCTGAAATCTGGTTTTCTGTTATACAGATTCACTGAGTCAGGGGAATCACCAGTGCCCTTAACCCTACCCTTGTTCTTCCTCTCTCTCCCTAATAACAATGTTGCCAACACTTTCTTCCATGACCAACTTATTTGTTTCTCTTCTTCATCTTCTTGGTCAAACTGCAACATTCCCTTCATGTGTTGCACTTTGTCTTCCTTCTTGAGTTCAAGGAACTTGGTCCATAGTGTAGGGGCATGAGAATCATCTAAATATACAATTGGCCCTTCTACTTCTTTGGTGAAGATTTTCCTTACCTCTGTTCTTGATGCCTATATATGAATGTTTGGATTAATAAAAGAAACTTGTTAAGTGTTTACATTTTGTGTATAATGTGTTACACCTTGTTATGTTAGATTGGAGGAAATGAAGTAATATTACTAAATTAGCTTACATTAAATGCTGTTTCAAGGATTTCAGATCTGAATCCAGAAAGCACTGAATCTCTTCCACCTAAATAGAAGGACTTCAGAGCCCAAGAAAAATTAAATGACAAATATTAGAACTTAGTCACATTATAAGGTACAATTTCAAAGTGACCCATCATAAAGTTGAAGGTATGAAATTATGTACATGGAAGCTATCTGCTCCCAAATTCTCTTTGGATTCAATGCTGCAAATTATGTGAAGTCTTTGACCCTCTAACACATTTACTAAATAGAATGGTGAACCAGCTGGAATTATATACACATCCCCTGCTTTAAGTCTTCTTTCACCTAGATCATTTTCATATATCACTCCCAAATTTGCTTCCCCTGCAACCAAATATCCAAACTGTTAAATTTTTTGATGCACTTTTTGAGTCTGAAGTTTTTTTTAGACTATAATTTCATGTACTTCATCAAAGTGGTTGTGATAGTCAAACATGTTTAATAATTTGACAAACAGAACTTCTTTAAGACACATATTGTATAATAGTGTGACACCCTTTATATTGTTAGATCACTTAAGAGGGTTTGGCTTTAGTATGGGTGACAGTGAAATAGACTCAAATCCTTATGAATGAGACTAAGATTCATTTACAAATACTACCATAGTTTAATCCTTAGAAAGGTTAACTCAAATGAATTGAAGCAATGCGCCAGATACGTTGAGCAACATCGTTTTTTTTTTTTGCTTTAGGACAGCGCGTTCGACCGCGGTCTGTTTCAACACAGTAGTAGATGATATACATTAACTGTGCTTTCTTATTTCGCTGTTGTATACCACATTTTACAACCGCGCAACGTAACTAAAAAGTATCTTTACTCTACAAAGAGAGGAAAGTAGGGAACAAAGAGTGAGTTTGATACCTGTACGGATGAATATTGCCAAATTGGAATCAAGGTACTGAGGAATGAAAAGGGACTTTGGTTCCATAGTGATGAAACCAATATGCATGCGCCTCTCTAAAATCCCACCACCACCATAGTTTTTCATTATCATTTCTCCAGCTTCAGTCTTCACCACACTCTTGGAATCATGCATCAAGAACAAACTACTCTCTGATGACATTGAAGTCCATTCTTCTTTCACTGTTCTCTTCTCTTTATATTCAACTAACCCCATTGTTAAGGCCATTCCATTGCATATAATAAAAAGGAGCAAGAGCAAAAGGGTGTTTCTGTTTCTCATAGTTTGTTGATAAGGTTTGGGTTTGAGAGATGAGGATGAATGGGGTTTGTTTATTTATGAAGAGAATGTAGTAAGAGACGTGTCGTGCATGTAGAATCTAAGGGATTTGGTGGCGAAGTATTGCATAGACAAGTTAGGATCGGTTACAGTATCAGTGACACAGAGACAAAGTATGCTTGAAACTTTCTGTTCTAACATTAATATCACTTTCCATTTTAAGACATCTTTCTAATATTTCTGTTTCCACAATAACAATACCACTCTATATTTGGTTAAATTATGTTGCCACTTGTGGCCATAATGAGAAATATTTAAAGAATTATACGATATAAAGGTTAAAAGCTCAAATATCACATATTAAAAATAATAACACTAACATTTGTTTATAAAAAAGTGTAAAGAGAACCTTAATGTATGGTTTAGTCCTAACATTATAAAACATGGGTCAAAAAACACTAAAATCTACTTTAAATATATGAGATTTTCATCTGATTTTAGCATTAAGAAAATAAAAATTTATTTTATATTTAAATCAACTTAGTTTCCTTTTTAAGTATTTTTCAAAATTTATGAAGTAAATTGATATAAATGCTACGTTGGAAAAATATTGACTTCAATAATATTTTTAAAATTTATGAAGTAAATAATAGAGTAAATTACATTGACACCCCTCCATTTTTTAACCCTACAAAAAGCCCTTGATTTCAAAATATGATATATTGTAGAGAGAAGTCAAAATAGTATACGAGTCAATACATTTTCATTATTTTTGGCTCATTATAATATCGTATAATAGTGATTTAAATAATATATCTATATAATTATTGATGCATTTTGTAATGAAAATGTATTGACTTGTCTCTACAATATATCATATTTTGTTTAGTTTCATTACACTTATCATCCTTTTTTATACAAAAAATTACACTTATTTTACATGCATGTATGTACAAAAATCAGGGATTTTTATAGGGTTAAAAAATAGATGAGTGGTCGGTGTAATTTCACTAAAACTTATGTGGTTTCAATGTAATTCACTCTAAATAATATTTATCCATATACAATTCATCATGCTGAATTTAAAATGATTTATTTTTACAAAAGATACAAGTAAACCTCAAAATAATATATTTTTGACATTTTAAGAAGTATGAAAATATGAAATTGTAAGTAGAATAGAAATTTGTTTCGTGTAAAGATGTAAGACAGAAGAACTCGAACGAGCGAAGCAATCAGAGGAAGTAGCCACGATTTCACCCATTAACCGTGGCGATTTCTACGCTCACATTTACCCACGACCTCGAAAACGTAGGTAGTTGCTTGTTCGATCCATCAACACCAAACCAACATGGCTGAGACATTCTCGTACATAATATAAATATTGATATCCACATCCAGATCGTGATTGATCAACAAATGGCTCTCATGGAAGCTGCTTTTTCTTTAGCTTCATCTTCTTCCTATTCTCTTCGTTCTTCTCTTTCTGTTATTCTTTCTTCATCGCCATTTTCTTCCTCTTTACTTGTTCATAAAAATGCATTGTCCATAAAATCAATCATAGTTTTATCTAAGAGAAATTTATCCAATGGAAGTGGGTCCCACTATCCTGATATTGAGGATTCTCCACCTAATGTTCATGATTCCTTTCTTCGTAGATTCAGGACCAAAAGAGGCTTGTCTGTTACTGATCTCACTTCAACGGTATCAAATTTTCGATCTTTTTCATAAAGGGTTGTTCATAGTGCAACAAATTTAATGCCTTTTAGATTGTTATTGGTGAAGTGAATGATTTATGTGATAGGAATGGTGTGAAAAACAAATGGAATTTTCTCTTCAACTTGGAGGGAGGAAAGTGAATAAAGTTATGAGAGCTGGTATTGCTAGACATGCCAAACTTGAACAAGAGGTAAAACTCTACAATTATATTAATTCCTCATATAACTTTACTTTCTTGCTTCATCTTCATTCTTTATCTAAATTATGGCAATGAAATATTTCTTTGTTGTGAACCTGTCTTTCATTAATTATGCATGAAATATTATAGTTAAGTATCAAGTAAAATAACTGTAATCAACTGTGTTACCAAGATATAATTATACTTGATGCTATTGGAATTTATGACCATGTAGCCATTTAGCTAAGCCTGAATAAGAACATAACTACTCCACTGAAATGAAATCTCCTAAGGTATCAATTCAAATAGTGTGCTTGCAGAATTGTTATTATTAACTAGATGAAGCAGATTATTTTTTAGTTATTTGCTTAATACTAGATTGTAAATTTTTAGGATTATTTGAACTTTTCTGTGTCCTATTTGG